CAGAGAGAAGAGACAGTGCTGGGTTTTAATCTCATGAATATTACTGGTTATGTTTGCAGTATAGGCCAGGAGGAAGATGTGCAAACCAGGCTTCTATATATAGATCGCCACTCAAGCATGTAATGTGTATCATGGGATCCCTTTATCTTTATGAGACTAGCACATAAGCCACTTCATGGTTATTAATCTAGAGAAGCTATATATTACAGCATCTCTAAAAGTATAGGAGTAAGAGAAAATCTCAGGGACATTTACTATGTTTTTTTTTTAATCTATCAGAAACTCTTATTTAACATTTCAATGAAGGATTTTTTTGCATGGAATTCTTATGTATTTATTTTATTTATTTATTTGAATGAGGGAGAGAGAAAGAGATGGAGAGGGAGGGCAATTTTACACCTGCTGATTCACTCCCCAAATGTCTGCAATAGTTAGGGCTGGGTCAGGCTGAATTCAGGGGTCCAGAATTCCACCCAGGTCTTCCACATGAGTGGAACTGACTCAAGTTCTGGGTCATCACCCACTGCCTCCCAGGATGTGCATTAGTACAAAGCTAAAATCAGAAGTGGATCCAGGACTTGAGCCAAGGTACTCCAGTATGAGATGTGGGCATCCTATGTGGAGTCTTAAGTATTGTGCCAAATGCCTACCTCCTTGAATGGAAGTCTTTGGAATCAGAAATATTTCCAATCCCAGCTTGCTCTTGCTCTGTCTCTTGTGAGCGCGCGCTCCCTCTCTCTTTCTCTGTCTCTTCAAAATTTATTTAGTTGAAATTCAGAGTATACAAGAAAAAGGGAAAGAGGGAGAGAGGCGGAGGTCTTCTATTCACTGGTTCACTTTCCAAGTGACTATGTGCCTGGGCTGAGTTAGCCTGAAGCTAAGAGCCCTGAACCCTTCTGGGCCTCCTACATGTGTGGTAGCAGCCCCTGTAACTGGACCATCCTCTGAGATCTTCCCAGGTGCCTCAGTAAGGAGCTCGGTTAGAAACTGAGCAGCCAGGATTTGAACCAGCACTTTAAAAGTGGGTGCTGTCTGTCATCTCAGGCATTGGTTTCACTCACTTATTCACAACAATGCCCCTTCCAGCCTTCACTTAGTCAAGAGGGTAGCTGTTCTACTGGGGTGAAATGATCTAGGCAGCAGTTTGAAGCATGTCTGCCATACTTGGTAAGGGGGTGAAGCACATTTTTTCATTGTGACCCAGAAGTATTTATCTCTATAAATATGAGGGCATTTTGTTAAATTCATGGAAAAACAGAATTAAAAGCTGTTTATTTTATTGAGTTTTTAAAAATCCACACATAGTTTTTTTTTTTTTAAATCATGGGTTGTTCCTATCAACTTTATACCCTTCATATGAGAAAGGGAATTCTCGTATGTTTGTCTTTTTGAATTAAAAATTGAGATTACCTCAAAAATCTCATAGCTATAAGAAGATGAAAACGTTTTTAATGAAAGTTTTATAGGAGAAAGTGAGTAAAGGCATCTGTGGACATGGATTAGTTGAAAACAGCAGGGTTCCCATAGGCCTTTGCTGTTGTCACTCCATCAACAGCCTCCAGTCTGTAGAACATGCTGATGCTTGTGACTGCAGCCCTGCGATTTCTAGGTGACTAGTGTAAGCCTTGTATTCAAAAAGAAATCTGACTCCTGATTGCTCTAGGCAGACAGGCCTGTCAGCAGCTGGGTTCGGCTTGCAAGTCACTCACAGCTACACTGCAATGGTTAGAATCTCAGCCTCAGTGGCTGTGTGAAGCCACCTTTAGCCCCCAGACAAGAGCTTCTGGGAAGCCTGCTGTGCCAGGGTACAGCACATGTCTTCCCCAGCACAGTTGCAAAGAATAAACTTACAATGCTGCTGGAATGATTGTGTACCAGAGGATGCTGATGAATCTACTCTGGAAGTCAGATGTCACATCTGGAAGGCCCAGTGCTCGCAGTTGGGCTAAACACAACACACCAATACCACATTTGTTCTACACGTGTTTACTGAATACCTGCTATGAACCAGGGGTGGTAAACTCCCATTTGTTATTTGCTTGACAGTCTGTCTTCCAGGCTACCTGTTGATGTTGATTTTTCTCACCTGTTGTCAATTAGAGCACCACTGGTAAGAATTTCAGGTAGATCCTGGTTTTTTGAAAGAATTGTCAACTATGCAGACGTTTTCAGCTGCTCTAAAAATACACAGTAGAGTTACTGTGCTTCAGTAAAGCTCTATGTTTTTGCAATACAAGGCAGCAGATCTGAGTTCTATTCCTGGCTCCATTATAGTGTAACCTTGGGCATGGCCTTTCCTGGCCTGTATCTCCTCATCTGGCATACAAGCAGAGTGGGTTGGGTGGTAGTTAATGGTCCATGTAGTTCTGTTATCCTTGGATGAGTCTGTAAGCACTCAGAAGTGGTTTAGAGGCCACGATTAACCAATTTTGTAAACTGGTTTGTCCTGGGCTAGAACTGGAGCAAAAGTCTTTTGTTTGTCCCTTGACAGAGACGATTGGACTGTACTTTGTTCATACTTGTCATCGTAAAGCAAGTGATATTCAGGAGAGCCAAAAAACAATCATACTTAAACAGCCAGTTAAAACGACTGCACTATATTAACACACTTTTCTTTACTCAGCAAGAGTTCCATTTTAATCTGTCACTTTCAATATTATAGCAGCATGTTTCAGCCCATTTAGGTTAAGTAGCTACAGCAATTTTGAAAGCTCTAATGATTCATGTATGGTGGCTACAAATGCCCTTGGCAGAATCCAACCAGGGCTTGGCTCTGTTGCCCTTGGCCCTCAGGTGGGCTTAAAAGCCTCATGTGTTTAGTGGTGGCAACAGGCTGCAGGTGGCTCTGGATGAATTCAGTCATTTTGTAGCTCCTGGGGAAAAGGATAATGTGGCTCAGAGGTTCAAAGGCCCAGAAGCTCCTCCTTCTGCCGCAGGGAAGACCAATCACAGGAGGTGTGAGGCCAGTTCCCCACGGCTGCCTTTGTAAGGGGTGGTCTCCATGGCAACATGGCCAGAGCATCGCACTTTTACCAATAGCAGAGTTCTGGGGTGACAGACCTTTAGTCATTCAAATTTAAAGTAACATGTTTCATGCATGAATTAGCAACCTCCTTAAAGCCAAGACAGACAATTATAGTGGATCTTCCCTTTCTCTCCTTAGGCAACAGTAGTGGAATTGAATCTTTTCATTTGTTTCTGAGACCTAGGTCTCAGGAAATTTTTTTATTCAATTATTGTCCCTTTCATGATACTCATGGTGAGACAGATTTCTACTCTGGGATAAACATGGATTCAGATTCAGCTAACGTTCATCAAGCAGACATTGTGCAGTAGTGTAGATCAATAGAGTAACTTACGTATTACAATACATGTTGATTAAATGAATGTTAAAAAGCAATGAGATATTAATGTCATAAGCGCCTTGTGAGAGCATCCTGTGGAAGTCTTTCAATATGCAAAGGGGGAGTGTCTTTCCCAGGTGTCATACACACTACTATTTCCATGTAGCTGTTTCTGGATACAGATCCCTGTGCTGCAAGACACAGTGCACGGTTATTATGAACACTTGGTAATAACGGAGCATGTGTGTTATAGCATTTGGACATATTCCTCCAAGTGTTTAGCTGACTATAGTGCATGGGATACTTCTCCGTGGACAATTTAACAAAAAATACTACCAGGCATTCAAAAATATGTTTATTCATATTTATTCTTGAAAGATTTAGGTGACAAGATACTAGCAGAACTTGAAAGGAATAACCACTACTGAGGTCTGGCTGAGCATGGGTAGGGGCTGGAGAGAGCAGCAGGGGAACTCAATATAGGATTCATGGTAATCAAAACATTCATTGGTGGGCATGATACCAGAAAGGAGGGAGTCAGGGGGCTGATTACAATAACTCATCACTTGAAGTCTGCTGCATACTTCTCCTTTGCAGGGATAAACTAGTCCAGGAGACACGATTTGCCAGTTCTCTGCTCTAGGCAACTTCTTGCTTGGCCCTGGGCACTGCTGAAGACATACTGGTGAATTTTTCCTTGAAGACTCTACCAGTTCTAGGTTGCAAACTGACCGTTCTCTTCTTCCTGTTAGTATTCCTTTTTTATATAAAGAAAGTATTATACCTGGGCCAATGTCAGCTTTTTGAGTTACAATGAAATGCCAGTATTGCCTTCTCAGGCCGCTTCTAATCAGACTTTATGGCCATCTGATTATTAGCTCTTAGGGAACTGGTTTTGATGACTTACTGCTTTCAAATTCTATTTATATAAATAACACTCTGAAAGGAACCTTCCTCGCATGTGCTTCAGGTACCTTATTTCATCCTTACATTTGAACAGGCAAGTCTGAGACCAAATTGAAAGGAAGCCTGGGTCTGAGAGATTTTTACATTTGTATAACAGCAGTAAAACAACATGATCTGCTTTTATCAGCTTTAATGACTGTGAGGAGAAAAATGAATAAAAAGGAGTGAGAACCACTAACTTGGGTATTGGGGATTGGTAAAGAAAGGATTCAGGAATAACAATAGAGGAAATATGGCGCCAGTCTTCTAATACACTGGACCAAAGGTCCTGGATCCACACCTAATAAATATTAATTATTTGCTGGGAGATACTAGAAATGTCTGGAAGATGGAGTACTTCTGAGAGAAAATCAGATGAGTAGCCACAATGGAAAACCTCATTGCTAGACAGGCAGGTGGAAAACATACAGTTTTCTCAAGGTCTTCAAATGCAGAAATGGGCATGATTTCTTACTATATAATATTTCTCCAGTGGTCACATTCTCTAATTCAGTGATTCTAGTAAAATCTGAATTCCAGACAGAAACCTCCCCTATAGAAAGGGAAAGTGCTATCCGTGGTATGTGTATATATATATATGCATATATATATATTCAAATATATGAAGAGATGGGATGGAAAAGTGATTAGGTATTATGAGGTCTGATTCATTGTCATCCTAATGGATTAACCTTGAAAATATAGTTTTCTTTAAGTGAGCCTTGTTTTTTCCTTAATCCAGTTGACATACCGGGATACCTTGGTATATATACCATATTTGCCTTTCATTGCACACTCTTCACCCCAGCTAATTATTCCAGTTAAGAAACTGGTCCCTTCCACTTCTGACACATGGGGGCCCCCACTATCTCCTTGACACGAATCTCTACCTCCCTCATGATAACCAGCACAGAACATGTTATTATAGATGGTAAATTTTGTGGAGCGAAGGCATGTGGCTCGGTCGACAAGCGGAACTCTAAGATACTGAAGAATTGTAGCTGGTCTCCCTCTGTGGAAGACTCGGCCCCAGCCACTCACATAGTTAGATCCAAACTTGAGGAAGGTGTTTGTGTATTCTCTGTTGGCAATGCAAATAGGTGTTACATAGCTGTTTAGCGTTAAAGGTTTATCCAGTTCCAGAAGAGCAATATCGTGGTTGTATTTATTAACAGATGCATTGTAGTTGTGGTGAGGAATAATTCGAATCACATTTCGTGTTTGCTCTGTATTCTCAGTCTCCTGAATGTTATATTCACCTGTCAAAGACAAATTGCATTTTCAATCACAATCGTTCATTTAATGCAACCGATTTTCCAAATAGCTTCTTGGCATCCCCAACCTAACTGGCGGTCAAATGTTGAAGGACTCAATGTCACACTGTGTTGAACTGATGAAGTGCAACAAGTTTCCCTTTTCAGACCAAAGAACCACTTAGAACTACCATGAAGACAGTTGTCTTTAAGCATGCTGTTACAAGTATTACCTTGGAGCTAATGACAGCACTTGCCATAAGTTATTCCAGACTTTCCCAATTTCAAGTGCCCTGACTCCTTTCTGAACACTAATTTGTTTGGTCATTAACTCAAATGTTGGCTGAGGACTTGAGGGACATGACAACGGCTTTTGAGAAGGTTCAGCCTGGTTGGGGAAACAGATATATCAACAAATAATTTCACCCTACTGACATGAGTGCTAATGCAGGTATTCCAAAAGAACTGTGGGGGGATGGAACAAGTTGAGTTATGAAATTACGACCCCTCTACCATTAGCCCAACTTATTTAGCAGTGGTCTTATTAAGCCTCAGTAAAGTGTGATACATCAATTATGTAGAAGATCCAGTGGTGCTGCAGATGGCTACCCTTTTTGTTTCTTTACCTGCAACAACTGTAATATTATCACCCGGCTCGACACAGTGGGCTGCAGTTACAATCCATTTTTCATTAACAATAGAACCTCCACAGAAAGCCTCAATTTTACCATTCAAAAGCACCTGTAGGAACAAAATTAAGAATCTTACTGCATGATGTATTTGATGCAGAGTAAAATAAATACTTGAGCTTTATATGGGGAGTGGGGGACAAAAAGTTGGTATTTAGGTGCTGACAGAAATAGTTTCTCTGCAAAGTGGTCGCATTTGTCAATAAATTAGCACTTCATGGTCACAATCCAAGAACACTTTCCTGTGACTGTCTGGAAAGAACAATGATAACTACGGGAAGCTGTCACTGAGGCAAATCTCAAGAATGACTTCTTTGGGTGATTTGGGGCCCTTACAGTCAGATTTGCTGATGGCACAATTGCTTCATGGGGATATGGCAAATGTATTAGGAAACACAGTGATTTGCCTCTCCCTGCACGAGGAGAGCTCTTTGCTATAGGCCATTGGAGAAAGAATAAAACTACTGATTTTTTTCAGGAGTCTTTTCATGCTCTTTTCAAACTGGAATCTGATGAAGTGAGACCTGAACCTCTGTAAAGGAGTACTTATAGCCAGGCAGGCAACAAAGAGGAAGTAGGACTCGTGCACTCTTGCCACTCTCTCTTAGTTATATTTGACTCACCCCCTCACTGGATATGTAACATACGGGGGCAAAGTGGACCAAGGTGTTTGGGTGCTCTGCTGAGCTCGAGAACACTTAGATTAGAAGCCACTCCACTGTTTCCTCTGTATGCTCACTACATAATCACAGAGGGCAATGACTACATTCACCACCTCAATGTCTAGAACAATTATGAGAATTTCAGTTGCAACATAAAGCAAGGGCCTTCATGTCTTTTCGTGAAGAATGCTGAGAAGTGTGAACACTAGAGGGCACACTCAACATTTGGTAAATGCTCTTTAGGCACACTGGCTCTTCTGTGAATTGATGCCCCTTTGTTAAAACACGGATAAGTCCCAGGCAGAAACCCATTCATAAACAGAGGGGGAAGGAGAGCTGCACTGGAGATGGTTGGCTAGGGCATGTCTTTTCAAAAGTTACTTTTGTCCAGAATTCAATGTACTGAACGCCTACCATTTCCAAGACACCAAAGTATAGATCTCTATGAAGCTGACTCCGCTAACATGCTGATCTCTCTACGCTCTGGCTCTCTATGTCTGGCTGTTGCTTTACATTTAGAAAACTTTTAAAAACATGGAAATACCCCTACCGAATATAACAAACACCTCCACACATTAAACACCGCTCAGACTTGAACAGCTTCTTCATTTTTTTTATACATCCATTGATTAGTTACAACAATTGTGATAGTTTATGTGTTTGTAATACTCAACAGTATATCTTGGTAAAGTGATATTACTATATTCATTTACATAGAGATTCACATCATCTCTCCTTAAGTTAGAGAGTGGTGAAGCTAGGAGTCAAATCCAAGTCTTCCGGATCCACAATTTGTGCTGTGAAGTCCAATAATTCTTCAAGTGTTCTGTGTGGGCCAATTGCTGTAGAATCATTCAAGGTGCTCATAGAATGCAGACTTTAGGGCTTATCTAGACTCAGCTAATCAAAAGAAGGGACACCTAATTAAGTTTGATACCTATGAATAGAATTTTCCAAGGCTAAGCTATGTTTTAAAAATAATCACTTCACAGGTCTATGCTGTGGCAGAGTGGATTAACCCACATATGGACAGAATCCTGGTTGTTCCACTTTTGATATAGTTGCCTGCTATTGCACCTGGAAAAGTAGCAGAATATGGCGTATGTATCTGAGGCCTGCGCCTACAAGGGAAACCTGGTTGGAGTTCCAGGCTTCTGGCTTTGACCTGGTCCAGTACAGGCTGTTGCAGCCATTTGGGTAGCAAATCAAAGGATGGAAGATCTCTTTCTCTCTCTCTCTCTCTCTCCAGAGATGATTATGCACTTTGTGAACTGATGCATGAAAATGCTGGAACTCTCACTTAAAGCTCAGGAAAAAAAGTGTTACCAGTGATATTATACAAAACAAAACAAAAGAACCCAAAAGGAAAAATAACAACAAAAAAACTTGTACTTTACTTCTGTTTGCTCTCACAGCCTATCGTTCAAAAGCATTTTCTTAGTTAATGTCATGTTTACGAAGATATGGAGCTATTGCTAGGAGAGTGTAGGCTGTCAAGATACCCAGGAGCTGCATCCTATATTAAGCACACTCACTCTTTAGGCTCCCTGCCTGGAAGCCACAAGATGCTGGGTCCCAACAGGGAAAGCTGAGTCAGTCATCCCTTGTCATTGCCTACTGCAGTAATTAAGGTAGAGAACTGATTCCCAAAGGATGAGCTCAGTTCCTGGAATGCAGGTGAGTAAGAGACTCATCATCCAACGTTCACTCTGTTGTGGCACATTCCTGTTCTGGAGATGATATGTGGCCATATCTCTTCCCAAAATAGCACAGGGCATGTGCACCTGACTTTAACATTCACTATACCTGTGCTCAGGCCTCTGCTGGGCACAGCAGAGTGCTTGAATCAGGAGGCATAGTGTGTCTACACATTACAAGTTAAGGGGTGGCAGGTGTGGGGAAGAACAAACAGCTGGCTAAGTTACTAGAGAGTAGGGGAGAGGGAGGCTGAGAAACCTCTCTAAGACGTGGTGAATGGTGAGTCTATGGATCAGAGCTTCAAGTCTCCAGGCTAGGCTCAGGTTTGTCCAGGGACTTCAGGTCTAGAAGACACATGCAAAATATTAATGCAAGACCCTTCTCAGTGCAAAGTCGTGCACAAGGGCATGTGTCACAAAACCACATGCCTGGCCCTGATGTCAATTTTTATTATCAACAAAATCTGGGCAGCACAGTCCTATATCAGCCGTGATGGTTACAATGGAGCACATCTGTGTAAGTAATTGGTTCAAGAATTCAAATGCAATGATTGCGTTTGCCTTGTTGCCAACTGTTTTAGGGGGGTAACTCTACATCTCTCAGTTTAATGGCTAGTTAGGACAAACCAAATGGTATTCATGGCCCTTAAGCTCAGAGACTGATGAGGCTTATCTGACTCCTGCCAAAAATTTGCTGCCTGGAGCTTCTGTTTTCCTGTGGATGGCAGAGTAATATGGTTGTGTTCTTTTAAGCCTAAAGATGATTCTCTGCCAAACCCTGATTGGTATTAGAAATTTTAGCAAACATCTTGCCAAGAAAAAGACTCAAAATATATTTGCATTTCAAGATATTACAAATGACTTGATTTGGGAATATTTGCTTGGCTAACTCAAGACCACAGCCATCTGAATATCAGCTGCTGAAGGGATGAGCTATCTGCTTGGCCAAGGACAAGTCCTTGCAGGGTATCACTTCAAAGAATCATGGAGGGGAAGGGAAAGCAAATGTGAGCAAGACAGCTGAGCTCTAACTCACCAAATATTTAGTCACAACCTAACAGGAACCTGGTCCTTCTCTTTGAAATGTACACATATATGTACACAAATCATACCTACATGCATCTACAAAACAGTCATTCACATATCTGTTATTATGTTCTTCATTGACAAAACCAACACAAAGCAATAGTTATTTCTTGGTTTTTCTTTTCCCAACCTTTAAATGCAGCCTGGTCTTTCCCTTATTCTCTGTGTATGCACTGTAACTTTGCAATAACACATTTTCTGTTTATATGTTCACATTCTCATATACAAAGCAAAAGCATTTTCTACACGATGTATAGCTTATTATGCCCATAGCTGTTGTTCTTCTAACCCTTAACCCTGTGTCATTTTGCTGGGCGCAGAAAGGAAACTCACTTAGTTTTAATGGTTAACTAGTCATTGAAATATATATAATCGCCAAACAATTTTGGAGGATAACAGTCCAAATACTCTGGCTAAATTAGATTGGTGGTGGGGGGGAACAAGTGCAATTACATATCTCATGTTCTTATTCCTCCTAATTGGAATTTTATCATCTCAGCTAAGAATAACACAGGATTACCTTAGCAAGTTGAAGGTATTCCTACAACCCTAACACCTTTATGTAATATCACCAGAGAGAAAATAGGAAGACCAAATATTCGTCATGCAGAGCTAGATGCCTCTTAACCTAAAGCACAGAAGCTGGGGATTCATGGGACTAGTCTGTGCATGGATCATGGTAAAGGGACAAAAACCAAATTATAGCTTTAGAAAGACAATTGATCGTGTTGCTCCATCAAATCTCTCCTTTTGAGCTGTTGATAAAAGTGACCTAGTAATATAGGTGTTGTTATTGCCCCCTTTGATCTTTCTGTTGAAAAGTTTTCATTTTTTCCCTTCATAGCCTTCTGAAATTCAAATCTTGTTTGTTTCCGACTCTTCTAAAGACAAATCGTCTCTAAAACAAAACTAGCTGAAACAAAACCACTGAACTATGCATTCTGATTGCATGGAGGAGCACTAACCCTCTAGCTTCTTCCACTCTTTCATCTTCCCCTTGTCCTCCCCCTTTCCCTCTGTTCTACTTCCCTCCTCTGTCTACCTTGTCTTGCTCACTCATTCTTCTCTGGAACGGTTCCGTTAGAACTGGGGTGAGGCCAACTAGACCCTTGGCTCTTGCCTATAGCACAGCAAGCTGGGGTGGAACCCCTCAAATAAGGTAAGAAAACAGCACAACTGCCACCCGACTATGTGGACAGTGAGCATGATTCTGTAAGGTCTCAATGTCCCAGGTGAACCAACATCCTCTGAGACTCTTCTTGGAGAGGGCCACTGCTGTTAACAGCTCTTCCCAGTTAACAATTTGCCAACTATTTTCAGCTGGCATTTGCTACCCACACCGCCCAGCCCAATGGCCAGGCTAGTGATTGGAAAGGCTTTCTTAACCAGAGCCGTAATCTGCCTTGCTTGCACTTTTGACCCCTCAGTTAGGCCATAAAGAAAAGTCTCCTATCCCATTCCCATGTGGGTCTTGCATTCGGCTGACATCAACCTGTTCTTTGAAAAGAGAAAAAAAAATTCCAGTTCATTCAAACTATTTCTTACTCCAGATGAAAGTGAACTCTGTCCTTTGTGGGAGATTTCTTCATGCAAGTGATGGCTTTAGCCCTTATTCCAACCAATTTGAAAGATAAAAGAATCAGTTCTGGACAGAGAGGCTTTTACGAAGCCTCAGCATTTGGAGATATCCCTTTCTGGCAGACATGACTGAACAGTGTTTTATACTTCAAGGCCAATATGCGACATTGACCACGGAAACTCCAGCTGTTGCTTAGTTGTTCTGAATGCCTTGGCCACAGCAGGTTTGTTTCAACCTTGATTGTAATCATTTAAGTGTATTTGCCATTTCGTTTCTAGGATGACAAGTGGACAGTGCTAAGGACACTAGGAGTGTATCCCTGGATAAAAACAACAACAGTTTTTTTTTTTTTTTTTTTTAAGGGAAGTCCTCTTCACAGCTATCAATACACCCCGGAGCTCCTGGAACTTCCACTTTAAGAACTGCTCCATGTTCCACAAACCCAAGGTAGGTAATTGTCACAAAGTAGGCTTTTTTTGTTGTAACCAGCTTACCTACAGAAGTTAGACACATAGTGAGTGAAAATACCTGAGAACACAAATAACAAGATTATGTAGGATGAAATGCATAGTTGTCAAAGAGAATGAAAGTAAAATTAGGGTAGCTGTAGCTAAGAGAAATTGCTCAAGGAAAGGTTGATTCAAAATGTCAGCCTTACAAAGGATTGTGACAAATACCAAGATGTAGATAAGTGAAATAGCGAGTTATGGTGGGCAAAGGAAGAAGCACAGGGAATATGTGCTCAAGCAGGGAGTAAGGGGTGTAAAATGACAAACAGGGTACTGTGTTGGCTATAAGAGCCAGTACATTACGTTTTTCACAATGGCAATGGTAAAGGAAAATGCAAAGCTTTGACTGTGATGCTCTGCCACTCTTTAATATCATTCTTTACATATGTCTGTCTGAGTCCTCCACTGCACCCCCATTCCCGGGTATTTATCTTATATCCATTATCTTGGAAAATGACAGGAACTCTGAAGAAGCCTGGATGGATACATAGCTGACCTTAGAAAATTTCAGTGTTATTAATCTTGAGGACATTTATGCAATCCTTGTTACCCATTTGATGACTGCAAAGTCTGTAAAGGATGTAAAAGTATTGAGTCTCTTAGGACAGAAGTTCAAACCTCAGCAGACAAAATATTTTGTAGTGAAGCATCCTTGAAATGACTACCAAAATAAGATGCCATAAAAATGAACATTGTTTACTAGAAGTTTCTTCAGTGATGAAAATGCTATATTAATGTCTATGGAATGTGTGCTTGAACAATTGAATTTTTAATATTAATTACAGTTGATTTGAGTTTCAACGGCCACAACTGCCTAGTAGCTACTTTATTGGATAGTATAGCTCAAAATTAACAACCAGCCTGGTTGCTTATGTCGAGTGGGAGTCTAGTCTCACAGATGGAATCACTTGAGCTTTAATCAGGGCTTAATTATATATTTTGCTGGAAGTGTGCTCTTGGTTGTAACATCAAAAATGTATGTAAGTCATTCTGTACCTGTAGGTTACCCGTAAACCATTCTTGGAAGACTAGCTCCCATGAATCCATGAATATATTTGGTGAGCCTGACTTTCATCACACGATTGTTTCCTTTGGAACAGGGCTTTTCAAACTGGAGCTTGCAAGAGAATCCCTCCATAGGTGGGCTCCACCCCCAGCCACTCAGATTCAGTAGTTTGGGAGAAGAGTCTGAGTTTTTGCATTCCTGACAACTTTCAGGTGATTCTGATGCTAATGCTCTTTCTCAGAACCACAGCCACAAATGTTGAATTATCACGCTGTGTCACAAAAATACATGCTACTGAAAGATTAAAAAACAGAAGGAAAAACAAAATGTAGCACATTGTGGACCAACCTCTTAGCCCATTTCCTGGTGCCTGGAGTCAAATTGTTTCCTGACTCTTTTCTTTTCAAGTCTTTCTCTGTCTCCCTTGAAAATACTTCCGAATCTGTGAGCCTAGGGCTGACCGTAACTGTTTATCCAGGGAGTAAAGCTGAGGCAGTACCAGAACCCTAGCACCTGGAACCTCATTTCCAGCTCTTCCTAATTCTGTCCAGTTGCTTATCTGCAGTCCTGCTTTTGCCTTGATGCCTGGTTCTTCATGATCTCATATGGCATCTCTCCTGTGCTTATCTTTCACCAGCTGCTCACTTGTGGGGGCATTTTCGTATTGTTTAGTGCTGCAACTTGCCTCTGGACTTGTCTCATCGCATCACACAGTATCCCAGTCTCAGTCACCCACCAGGCCCATCCCTTGCCAGCAGAGAGTACCTGCCACGGGAATTGACCTGGTTTTGCATTTTCTCCTCCAACAACCCGAGTGTAATTGTCAAATGATTGGGTGTCTTGAGTGAAATTATCCCAGATAGTGTCAGCTTCAGTAGAATTTTCATAGTTCACATTATTAAAAAATGTTTCGGAGCGGGTGAGCTTCTTAGAAGCATGTGAAACAGAAACTCTTCCACATGGAAATGGCACTGGAAATACAGAAAAATAAAAATTTCTTATTGGCAAACAGAACATGACTTTCAACAATTGAGAATGTGGCTCATCTTTGTCACTTCTGAGAAGCAAGGATGTAAAAATATTTTTAAAATCTAATCAGTGAACACAGACCCAAAGTAGAAGGTTGCTTGTATTATTTTTGTGGCTCATTTTCAAACCCTGCTGAAAAAAGAACATTTGGCTCAAGGATCCTTCATCTTCACAGAAATAGAATAGGTGTTCCAGAATTAAATTTGGTAAGACTTTTATAGAGTATGCTGACTTTCTGTTTAGTTTCTTTACTAAAAGTGTCATATCTGAATGGAAGTCTACATTTGCAATTACTTGATTTAGAATTAGGCTCTTTATCATTACTAGGGCCTCTTTTGTGGTTTAGGGTGTCTTCCAGGTTGCAAGGTGGGTTTTAGGGATTTGTTTGGGAGTGGATGTTTGTAATTAAATTATCTGGCAGTCAGATATTAACTAAATAGATCACTCATGATTATCATGGCCACATTCCCCTGGGATTGGACTATCTTATTCCACTGGGCTCATTTATTTCCTAAAGAAAAGAAGTCATGTATTGCTATGCTGGAGACAACCAAAATGAAATTTGTAGCTGAAGTCACCTCACATTTCATTTTCATTTCTCACTTTCCTTCTAGCCACTGTTCCTTATAACAGGCATTTCTATAGCAACCAGCTGCAGCAAAGTATCATGAAGACAGCATGTGGCTGACAAAGCAGGAAATTAGTTCTAAATACTTACATATAAATGTACATGATCAACAATGGCTAGAGAAAAGGGACCATTATTGCGAAGAGAGAAAAGCTTATTTTGTTTTGCCAACTTATTCTGTTAAAGCTAGGCTGTATTCAAATAACACTCTCAATAATAGGAGATGGTTTTCAATTCTGTTTGTCTCTTACAACACAGAAGGGGCTTATAAAAGTTCGCTTCCCATATCAGCTGTCTAGACTAGAAGTTAGACTTTCATGTTAAACACACACAAACACGTATATACATCTACTTTTCTTTTCCTACTAGCTTTGGGGCAAGACATGTGAAAATAAGTCAAGAGCAGAGGTAGGCAGGACCTGTAACATTTGAGACTCTTCATTTTAGTTGCATCATGTATGCTCCTGGATTCTGGGCCTTTCTTTAATATCCTCTGCCCGGTACATTGTTGTGATAGGCATCAAACTCAGTTTCAGGGGATTGGTGCCAGTTTAATAAGATATCAAGCTTCACAAATGCAAAAGAAATACGTAGTTTGTTTCAAAAAAGTCCATTTATCAAATACATCGATCTTTAAAAGAACCAACTTTTAAATCAATTTCTATTACTTTTGTCTTTAAAGAGCAATGTAAGTGTGGCTTTCAACTACATAAATCTGCTGTCAGTATGGGGGTATGCTTGACATGATTGGAAAGCATTATTTTCCCTCCTACTGTTTGGGTTGTTTTAACCAGACTAGACAAACTTAAGTTATTTGCTGGAAACACTGTGACCAAATGTGTAAAATTAGCTTGAGACCCATGGGTAGAAAATAAGTTTCTCAGAGGAACCAATTTGTCCTTTTTAGTGAATTATACTTAAAATTCACTATCCTTGTGCTAGTAATCTGTCACTCATTCTTCTATTTGTATATCTTTAATGGTACAGTACTGCATTTCCATATTGGTTTGATTTACTGAATTATCAGTGCATATACAAAAACCATACAAGCCAATGGCTTTGCAATGTGAAATAAAAAATTATTCAAATAAGAATGTCTACTAGAGATAATTGCAAATTTTATATTTGAACCAATGATGCAATTTGGAAAATTCATTTATCCAATTCAGGCTACTGATCTTTTCATTGATTTTAAGTGGAAGCAGACGCAAATAGGGATAAAATTTATGTAGGCTACTTAAAATGCTGTAGGGCTAAATATAGATTTTCTTTAAAATACTTATTTGAATTTGGACCTGCTGGTTCACAAGACTTCTGGTTTTCTGCGAGTCGGTATCCTTCAGTACAGGAACAAAGCACCTTGTTATCAGGACTCCGGTTACAAAACTGCTTGCACCTGCCATTCATAATTCTACATGTGGAATCTAAAAGAAAGCAAAATAAACAGGACATCAAATAATGTGCATTTTGAAGTATAAATGGAATTACTGGCTCATGAATGAGTCAAACCTACTCTTGGGGCAGTCATGGTGAAAAACTTGGAAGCCTGAAGCAAAAATTGGAAAAAAAAAATATGGAAAATCCAGTTTTCAACATGGCATAAAAATAATGGTAAAAAAATAGATTTCATTTGTGTAAAATGAGATGTTTGGATATTTCTCTTTCACTGAATCATTAGCAAGAATAAAAAAAACCCCTTTGATTTATAACATATATTCAGGAAAGTATGCACTAAAGTTTCCATAAAGTAGATTTATCCATTTAAATGCTAAAACAATCAGTATGTGAGACATTGTCAACATCCCAGAACCTCCTAATACCTCTTTCCAATCACTCTCCCTTTCCTTCATTTCAAAGTTACCATTACATTGCCTGGACCTCTAGCACAGTGACCTGTTTTGTGAACTTTATATGAATAGAAACTTGCAATATGTATTCTTCTTGTCTTTCATTCCTCCTCTTGTCTGTGAGATCCATTCATATATTTTTGATAGAGTTCATTTACATTGCTGTGTAGTATTCCACTGCTTTAATGTTACAGCATTTATCTAGTCTATTGTTAATGGATATTTGAAATGTTTCCATTTTTGGCTCTTATGTATTCTGTAATGAACATTCTTACACTTATTTTTGGTAAAAATAAGCATGAATCTTTACTGCACTTACAAGTGGAATTACTTAACTTATGTTCGGGTCTAGTAGATACTGCCAAGTAATTTTCTGAAACAGTACAAATTAAAATTGCCACCATTAGACCATTAGTGTATGAGAGTTCCAGTTATTAGATATTTGTATTGTGAGTAAATTCTACTCTGTGATGTGTCTTTTGCTGAAGAGAAGTTCTTGGTTTAAATGTAGTCTAGTTTATTAAATCTCATTGCATTTATGTTGTCTAAAAGATTTTTGCTTTTCTCATGATAACAAATGTAAACCTTCATTGTTTTTATATTAAGGTCTTTAGTCCACTGGGAACTGATTTCTGGCATATACTGTGAAGTAGGGGGCCAGATGCATTTTTCTCTATATGGATATCTTTTTGACACATCACTATATATTGAAAAATCCAACCATTCCCTATTCTAGTGCAATGACATAAATGTATCATAAATCCAGCTTCCATACATGTACACACATTGTGTTCCAGTGATCAAATTGTCTTTGTGTCAATACTATACTATCATAATTAATATATAACTATAACAAATCTTAACATTTGGTAGTAAAAGCCGTCTAAATTTATTTTTCCTTAAATGTTGCATTGACTGTCCTTGACTCTTTGCTTTTTCATATACATGCATTTAAGAATCAGCTTATCAATCTTGCCCCCTCCCTAAAAAGATTCTGCCAGGGAGTTTGATTAGTGTTATAGTAAATCCATTAAGAGAAACCTGAAATTTTGTTATATGGTATCCCTGAACACATGAATATGGCCTAATCATTTGTTGTTTCCCTTAACTGTTTCCCATCAGGTTTCCTAACTTTTGTGTAGAGTTCTTGCACATCTTTGTTATTTATAAGCACTCTATTTTTTTTTTTGATTGACAGAGTGATAGAGACCTCTCATTCAGTGGTTCATTTCCCAAATGCCCTCAGGTTCAGCAGGGCTTGAGAGCCGTATTAGGTATCTCTTTTGTCTACATACACAATTAGAATTTTAACCCCCACCCAAATGTCACTAATATGCTATTTTAACACCAACTACAGTAATTGTGATTCCTGACATGATTGGCTTATCCCTGCCATTTTATGTTTTTCTAATTGCTGTGTTTTCCTTTACTAATATGAAGTAGCATAGTTCTGGGTGAACTAGCTGAGACCTGCTGAGTTAAGAGAAACAGGTTGAGCACTTGGACCCCTTTCTGTGTGGAGAACAGCACAGGAACAGAGTGAATTCAAGATGCCTTCCCCTTTAAATGCATGCTCAACTATAGTGCACCCTTCAACAGAAATGCTCAGTTGTCACTACGCTTAAAACATGAAAAAGAATGACTAGATGTTAGGTATCTCCTATGTACCACGTTTGTTCCTCTGCCTCACTTGTGTCTTGTTTTAAGTTGTGTGATAATCAGCTCTATGTGGATTTCAATGGACTGCATTCAAGTGCAACCTTGAATTGCCTTGACCTGTCCACACTAGGCTTCTTTCACCTCTTGCCTTTGGACTGCTGTGACGATGGCTGAGCAGGAGATGCCATGTGATTCTGGGCGCTCACGCGTGCTCATCTGGGAAAATGTAGGGCACGTGAGGTCCCATTGACTGAACCTTTGCATAACAGAAGAGAGAGATGGTTGTACACATTTTATTTTCAAGCTGGTATTTGTAGGTAGAATACCATGAGGCCAGTTCACACAGATTCTGGGAGACATGGCAAGAGCTCCAGGAATCAGTTACTGTTATGAACAAGAGGTTTGACAACCCATCCTCTTATTGCTTCTTTCTCCTACTGCCTTACTCTCCTATCACCCTTTATCCAAGGACTGCACACCATCAAAAATAAGCTCGTGCCACATTTTTCTTGCAGGAACACAGGTTAATGGAGTCATCATATATAATGGAATACCATGAATTTTTGAGTGACAAGTTAGCTTATAGTCCTTATTGGTACTTCAGGAGATGAGGTAAATCAACTGTTGCCATCCTGACCTGTAATCGTTGCTGCTGCAATCCACTAGATGCGGGATCTCAGAAGAGCTGTATTTTTAGAACTTATTCTCCTTACTGATTCATTACAAAATCCCTGTGGCTCTACTCATGTTACTAGTTCTCTTTCATTTGCTACAAAGAAATACTGAAGTGTTTTGCAAAATCAAATGCCAGCTGTAGAATGTGTTCAGTCAATAGGAGTTTGTGAGAAGTTCACACAAATAAGTGGTAGCTAACTGCTTATTTTTGTCCCTGACATACACAAGGGAACGAATAAAGTCAATGTGGGGTTTTTTTTTTTTAAGATTTTCATTTTAGTTTTATTGCAAAGTCAGATATATAAAAATCTGTATATATATATTTACACACACATAGAAGAGGAAAGATAGAGAGGAAGATTTTTCCCTCAGCTGATTCACTCCCCAAGTGGCTGCAGTGGCTGGAGCTGAACCTATTTGAAAACAGGAGTCCGGAGCCTCTTCTGGGTCTCCCACATGGGTGCAGGGTCTTGAGGTCTTGGGCTGGCCTCGACTGCTTTCCCATGCCACAAGCAGGGAGCTGGATGGGAAGCGGGGCTGCTGGATTAGAACCAGCGCCCATATGGGATCCTGGCGCAGTCAAGGTAAGGACTTTAGCTGCTAGGCTTTTGTGCCAGGCCCTCAATGTGGTTTTTCAATTCTGATCCCATGGTTAAAAAAACTCAAGCTGGACCTCTATAATGTAAAAATATGGCCCAGCCCCATGCCCTTTCCCACAGCTCCAGGTGTCCTTGTCTGTCTCCCTAAGCACAAGGTGTCCTTGCCTGAGTTTTATCAAAAAGAATTCACTGACTTAAGGGAGTGATCCAGCTGGTCTTAGAGACTTGTAATCACAGGACTCCAGAAGTCATTTGCTTTTCAATAGATGAGAACATTAATGGCAAATGTTGTCTGGAAGGAAATCTTGTAACTACATTCAATTAGCCCCCAATCCCTGCGTGTGTTGGAGCTTACCAGACCATCGTAAATTCCCTAAAGATCACAGCATTGCCGATTGATCAAGAACACTGCATGCACACACCTCTCAGCCCTAATCGTCTCTAAGAACCTTCACCCCTAGCTCCTTGGGGAGTCCAAAGCTGCCCAGCTCCTTGCTCTGGCCTTTGCAATGAATGCCTACTTTTTTTCATCACTCCAGTGTTAGTGATTGGCTTTCTGCGTGTTGGGTGAGCAGATCCAGTTTGAGAGTTCTACAACAATGTCTCCAACCAGTTTGGGGTGTATAGCAACAAGACGAGTTCTCTTACTGTTTTTCTCATTAGCCATCACGCCTTACGGCCCAGTGCTTTGCTGAGCTGTTGCTCTCTGGCTTGCTTTCTTTCTACACGTGGTGGGAGTATTTCTGGTTAGTTACCAGTCTTGCCCTCAGGCAAAAGGCTCAAGATTCTAGAAGCAGAATGAGTAGGAGGAATTTGATGGGAGAGTTCAGTAGGGCAGGGTTTCAGGAATAGTAGGAATGGGACTCCTTCCTCAATGATTAAGCATTTAAATGCCAGGCACTGTGTTACAGTCTATGGGTTTTCTCTGGTACTGAGGTTTGCCTCAGTGTCAAGAATACCCGTTGAAGGTCATCTGAAAGCATTTGTTCTTCTTCCATCTTAGCATACACTATTTCTAATTCCCTTCATACCTCCTTTAAAAATATCATGTGCTCTGTTTTATTTTGCTCTACCTTAATCTTCCTGGATGTATCCACTGATGTGCCAACTGAAGCTTGAAAAAAGGTGTTTCATATCTATTCAACAAAAGGTTTTCAGTTTTATCACACAATAGGTTGCTAAATAGCTAAACTCAACATTTTTTTTTTACTCTCCAATGAAATACACAGTAAATATGATAGCAATTTCTGTGACATGCTGTAAGAAGTAACAAAAAATCTATATATGCTTGTAATTTGCTCCCCCACCCCCATACTGTCTTATAATTGGAAATTCCTCTGTACTTTTTAGAAGGGATGGGAATGATTGCATTTTACGAATCTTGATTTACATGAAAATGAGTTCAATTTGCTATGCGGATAAAGACATACCGAGTTCTTTGGTCTACCAGAAATGACCCAATAGCCAATTTCTATGCTTCTAACTAGAAGGCATGCCCTGTTTGGGTCCCTCTTTCCTGACAAGAGAAAAAGAGAACAAATCAGTCTTAACAAAGGACATCTTTCCTTTATAAACTAGAGTTTGCTTTTTAAGCAAGAGCACTGGGGCCCAGATACTCTGTATTTGTCTAATAGCTTTTGAGATTAGTTTTAAATTCGGTTTGAAGTATCAAGCTTAAATGGGAGTTGTATATGCTTTTGCTGTTGCTTTTTTATAGTATCTAAAGAACTTTTTTGACGAAATCCTATTTTGTTTCTCAAATAACTGAACTGACAAGATTTGTCTAAAGCATGATCAGATTGGCCAGGTGAGATCAGTAGCTCCCAGAGACCAGGTGTGCGGTGGCTGCAGCTCAGCTGTAGAGCTCTGGACAGACTGAAGAATATGGACTTGATGTGATTGAGGTGGTACCACTTGTATGTTTAGCATTTTTGCTCTATTGATCATCATCTTACAAATGGAGTAAACCCTATTAGAGAAAATTTGTATTTATATTTACATTCCTCAGGGTTATTCTCTTCTTCCTTTCAAATTTATCGAATTACACTTTATTGCAATGTCCCCTTCAGTCTTAACTGAGATTAGTTTTGTTGTACATGCCCTCAGTTCTAATAGCTGTATTATTTAAGCTGATAATGACTAACTACTCCCAAGATTTCTGTAGGTTTCTATAATAGGTGGATCAAATTTATCTAGGCAAATCTGAATTTGAAATTATAACCTTTCAGCTGAAAGTAGCACTTCAGAGATGTTGAGCCAATTAACACACCCACAGGAAAGGTGAGCCAGGCATTGTTTTGTCCCCACACTGGCAAGCATGAGGGAATTGGGAGTGTGAGTCAGGTGTGCATTAGTTCGTGCACCTGCACTTACTGTTGTTTATCTTTTTAAGTGTTTTTATCCTGTCTCCGTTTCTCTCTTTTTCTGTATCATCTGAGATGTTTTAAATCTCAAATGTTCTTCAGTACTGAAAGGATTTCTCAACAATGTCACAGGTGAATTTTCTTTCTCAATATGACAAGTGCAGCTTTTTATGACTTTTTTTCTTCTGTCAGATGCATAGCTATAATGCCTCAATAGTGTCCTGCTAATGTTCCACTCTCTGTTGCTAGTCATGTAGCCTGTAGTATTAAATTCTTTTCCTAGAATTGAGTCTTTATCTTTCTTGAATTTGAAAGTAAAAGGAGAATCTTCATCAGTTTTGTGTATTGCTTAGAGCCACAATATTAGCAATGTCATATCTGAAGATAATAATTAAGTTTGGATTTACTGCTCTAATTACTAAAACTTCAGAAAAATATTTTAGGTTATGCAATGGTACACAGTGATATTAGAGTTGCTGCTGTAACCTTCTGATGTAACAAATGTAGTCAAGTTCAAGAAGCCCTGATTTTTGTCAACAAGCTTAACATGTGAAACATGTGTGGAGAAGTTTGTTATGTGGGCTAATTGACCTGTCATAGTCCAGTTCTATGCTAAATTGACTTCTACTGCCTAGATTGAAAGCAAATTAGCCATGAATTCAAACAATTTTATGAACTCAGTTTTGTATTATAAGTTGTAAGCATGATTCTTTATCAAATTGGAGTTGGAGTCTTGATTAAGCTATTTATGTGTTTCTGAGTTTGAATTGTTGAAGTTGCAGTTTTCTCAACTGCCTACATGGGGATAATAAGTAAAGTAATTGGAACAAGATTACCACTTAATATTAGTTGCCAAACATTGTTCTAATTCTTAATGATTTCTTGAACTGATATGGTAAAAGCTGTGACAGCAGATGAAGCAAATATTTATAAGCTTTGAAAATATGTTTTGAAGAGAAACTTTTGATAACTATTGCATTTTTGGTTTTATCTGGCTTTAAAGGGAAACTCTGAACCATAATTAATTAAAGAATAATCACTTACCTAATTCACAGTTCTTCCCTTCAAATCCAAATTGACACCAACATTCATAGGCGTTAATGCCATCCTTGCAATTGCCACCATTTAAACATGGATTGGACTCACACTGGTTTCCATCTTTAAGATAAGTTAAGAAATTAAGTTAACAGATACATTTTTCTGATTACCCACTTTCCCGTGCTTAGATTTATCAGGATTTGAGTCCCATTCCCAGGTCAGAGTAAGCCTATTGGCCTAGAAGCCAGATGCAAATGATGGTACTGTCTTCCCAGGTTTCTGAAAGTCAGCCAAGCATGTGTTCTCAGGCTAGCACAGTTCTAGAAACTTGCCCCGAGGGAGACATGTGCATAGTTTATTAAATCCAAAGGAAGAGAGAAAATATCTTTATGCAGAAAGGCTCTACAACAGTACAAGGTGACAAGGATTTTTGATCCTTCTTTATAGAATGATGGCAGAGTTAATTCTAAATCAAAATGAATCACTTCAAGTATCATATGTCATCTCTATGTCATTGAAGATCTACTCTGTCACAGGTTTGCAAACTGGATGGTAATATTGTGCATTTTCTCAAGGTGGCTTGAGCATGGCACACATGTATCCATTTCCTTGTATTGCCATTTAAGTTTTAAGTATGCCATGTAGGGATAATTCAAGGCAATAGAAAAGGTGCAGGAAGGCTCAGTTACTCTTTAGAGATAATCTGTCTACTCACTAGAATCCAAATAGTTTAGCTAAGGTGAGAAATAATGTTCAATATATTCTAAATAATTCTAAAAGATTGTGTAATATGTTTTATTTATGTGGCAATAGGCCATATTTCCATTTTGTTCTTCTGCATTCCTACATTTCCAGAGTTCTGGAGATTATTTCAAGACACTATTCAAAAGAAAATGAGGAATAAATAGGGCAAGAGAACGGTCAGGATGGGAAGGGATCTTTAGTTTCTTAATATCCTGCCTCAATCCATACTTCTAAGGAGGCTCCAACAGGAAAGGGTGAATAGAAGAGGGAAGATTCTTGAGTTTGGGATGAGGAAAATATCCCTGAGGGGGAAATGGGAGACAGATCAGTAAGAATATATAAAAACAAAACAGTAAAATATAAAGATGACAGTGAGAGTCCAAGGATGCGGGGAAATGCTGAATGTTTAATTTCAGTTATACTTTAGAGCAAACTTGCGTGACGACTGGTATGCAGATCCCTGCTTGTTTCTCCCCTCTCTGTCATAAATAGATGCCCAGATTTCATTGACCAAGGGACTAATATCCTTTTGTCTAGAAAAACCTGCTTGCTGTAAAAATTAGACTTTATCTCCTCTGCCCCTTGATCTGATGTGCTTCTGCACGGGTCCTTCAGTTTGTTCCAACTCTATGAAATCAAAATACATTATCTTTGGTTTATTATTATTGATGCTCAGAACTAGTGTAAAAATGAACTACATTTGTACTTTTTATTATAGACTAACAAATGTGAATTATTTAGGATGTTTCATTGCAAGGGTCTGGGCTCCCAGCCAGCTACACAGAAGCTCATTTGCTCTGACATATTCTTAAAATGAGTGTCATTTTATCCCTCGGTTAGTCCTCTGGGTTCTGTCTGTGTGTACTTTGGGTTGAGGCAAAACTGTAAACAGTAAGGGTCAAAGACAAGAAGAGACAAGACCTTGCCAAATGAGAGATTCCTGTTAAATGAATGACTGCAGTTAGATTTGAAGGCCATGGGACATAATAGTGAAAGCAAGGAGCTGCGCATTAGAAATTGGATTCTCTTTTGAGCTTTATGACTCCCTAACTGGGTGATAAGTCTCCTAACCTCCCAGGTCCTCAGTTTCCTTCCCTGTAAAGTGCAGTTAATAATACTTTCCTCATAAGGGTAGTATAAGGCTTACTCCTGTTGGTGTTCTGTAAAATGCCTAATAGATGTTAGTTAATGTGCTTGGGCCATAGTTCTTTAACCAAGCTCCTTATATGGTGAGTTGATAATAGAGAATGGGACAATTGTCAGGAGCCTGAGCACACACATAGGCTTCTTTTGTAGTAGTTAGGAATCCCTACTGTAAGTGTAAAGAGCCATGGAGTTCATTTTTGCTTCTTCTTTTCTGATGCTTTACTTATTATTATTACTATTTTTGATGCTTCCCAGATATCTATACTGGAGATAGAGCAAATGGTGCACTTCTGTGATCAGAAGGCAGGAACCCAACTAAAAATCCTGTTGCGGTGGCTGCAGGACAAGGGCTCTGCAATCAAGGGATCATGGATATTTAGATATAACTAGGATTTTCTTGGCAAAGTTGCACATTGATTTTCTTTTCAAAATAATTCAAGAGATTCAAAGTGTTAAATTTAGGAAGAGTAGAGACTAAAAAGGCTTGCACTGTGGGGGGCTTGTAGCTCAGCAGAAATGGACATGATAGCACTCGTTAAGGATAAGGAAAGGTAGATAAGCAGCGTGACAAACAAGACTGCTTTTTTTCTCATGCCATAAAAGCAAAAGTGGGAGAACAATGAGTTCTGAGAACATCCGATAGTGTATACAGAGCGGGAACCATGGAGACTGGAACTGGATCTCAAATTGATGCGACCCAGTAAATTTGACGTGCAGGTCAATTTGTTTCTTCTAGTCATGTCGATGATATGGGTAAGTAGCCTACACATTTTACTCTGCTTCAAAATCCTACTTCAGGATTCTTAGTCAAATGTAAAATTTGTTGTCACTAAAGCGTTGGTTTTTCTTCCTTTTGGTCAGTTCATGGCACAAATACTACCCGAGAGACTCTGTTCCAGAGAACTAGCACTGTTCTACTTGCTAGGAGTACATAATTAAAATGATTGAACGTTCCTGCTGACATGAAGCTTGAATTCTACTGCATTGGGAAAATAAGAAATAGCATAAGAAAATGGTATAATGTATTAGATGGTGGGAAGACTTCTAATCTGAAAATCTGAATTCTCAAATGTTTCAAAATCTGAAAAATTTAGTGTTGAAATAATATCACAAATAGAACATTTCCTACTGTGAAATATTTATGGGCAAAAATGTGAAAGATAAGTTTAAAAGGTGCCTGCAAGCTGTGTGTATAAGATATATACTTGAGCACCTGGTACCTGCTGGGATCCCATATGGGCACTGGTTCTAATCTCAGCAGCCCTGCTTCCCATCCAGCTCCCTGCCTGTAGCCTGGGAAAGCAGTCAAGGACGGCCCAAAGCTTTGGGACCCTGTACCCGGTGGGAGACCCGGGAAGAAGCTCAGGCTTCGGATCGGCTCAGCTCTGGCTGTTACAGCCGCTTGAAGAGTTAATCAATGGACAGGAGATCTTTCTGTCTCCCCTTCTGTCTGTAAATCTGACTTTCCAATAAAAATAAATAAATCTTTAGAAAACACCATGTATACTTGAAACAGAAAAGACTTTCATATTCTGACTAGGGTTCTATTTCTGAGGTTACTCATTAAGTTTATGCAAGTACTCTAAAATTTGAAAAAAAAATTTCAAGTGCTTCTGGTCCCACTCCTTTTGGTAAGGCTTGCACAAGCTATATTGTTAAGAGCACAATAAATATAGAGTATGGAGTGGTAGGGCCACTAGGGGTCAGGTTGAGATATTAATAGATGCTCAAGGTAGGTCTTGTTGACAATGGGGTGTCATTTTGGTAAAAAAGAAATGAAGAAGGTATGGAAGCTAGCCTAGGGAAACCTGGAAATAGCTTAAAGGAACAGAGGGTCTCTTAACGTGGAAGCGCTCCTGGAGCTTGCCAGGACCAAACACAGGACAGGTGGGCGGCCTCACGCCCAATGTGTAAGCAGAGCGGCGGAAGAAAGGCGAGGCAGCAGGAAGGAGGAACAGGTGATCGCGGCCTTTTAGGCCATCACACTGAGGAGGACTTTTAAGGAAGAAACCTCTGAGGCCATCAGCATTCCCCATCGACCAGGGATTCAGAAGTGTCATTTTGTCCCAAGATTGCAATCATTGCAGTTTTCCTTCCAGCTTCCTAGGGTGGAACAATGTTCTTTGTGAAGCTCTAGGGAGTAGTAAACTGAGCTGCCAGCTGCTACCTTTCAAACTTGTCCTGTTATAGGGCTGAGCTGAAGTTTGAGTCATTTTGACAGCAGTTAACATATTATCTATTAATACAGAGAAAAAAGAATTTTTGAATGTTTCATGTAGCAGCCAGAGGATAAAATAAACTGCTTACCAACGTACTGCTTCCAAAATTCAGTCTGTAAAGACAAAAAGAGGATAGGTTAATGGCAGGATTTAAAGTGTTTTGATATTAATTCTTTTAAAAATCCAACAAGGAATTTCTTTTAGGTTTTTAATTTTTTTTTTGCATCAGAAATTTATAATGTGGAAATACTCACAGCTTTTTCAGTGTTTTCAAAAATTTCTCGAGCTTCTTCAAAGCTACACTTTTCTTCTCTGCATTCTCTCTCAAGGTTTCCTTGAATAAACTCTTCCAGTTTACCAGAGTTGTACCTCTTTGGCCGATTCAAAATTTTGGTGGCATTTTCATGATCAAGAAAAACTGAAATTAAAAAAAAAAAAGTATTCTTTGGCTTTGGAGAAAAGAAAGCATCAGGAAAATTAAATACATTTGTAAGAAAGGCTTTGTCTTTAATTCAACTTATCCCAAAGCCAATTTCTCTTTGGGGCACAGAGCCAAAAAATCTGTGATATTCACAGCACTATATACACATGATATTTAGGAATTAAAATTCAACTTTTCTTTCAGGGGAGTTCCAGTAATAAAATGTCAGGTTTTTTCATTGTATTTGAATTTATTTTGGATGTAAAAGAAAGTTCTCAAATAAGCAGTTAACTTCACACTTTGTCATCACTTGAAAATAGCTCGTTGCAGATCCTTGCAAGGTGATCCATCACCCTCACCAGGCTGGGTTTCAGAATGCAGTTGCCCAAATGATTTTGCAACAAATGTCTCCTGAGAAACAGAAACCTGATTGTGGTCTAGCTGCAAGTGTGACCTCACTATCTCTCTCATTAGATTTTTACTGAAAAACCACTGCATTATTATGTGGCTTTGAGATACGAAGCACCTTCAGTTGGCATGCGTTACAGGAAGTCCTGTGATGTAAGCATTGTCTGGGATTCAGGCCAGGATTTATTTTTACCAAGACTGCCTTGTGTGTAGGTAAATTCTTGAACTCTAGAGACTTGAGGTCTCTAATCAAATGTTCTTTCTTTCTTCCCTGCCTATTTTCCTGTCACTATACATACATGCGTATGCGTTTGGGAATATATATTCAATATCCATATGGCATTTCAGAACCCCCGTAAAGATAAACCCATGGATTCTCATGTCCCTTATATACCTCCCTTCTACTTTAGATAACTTCTAGTTTACTTTTAACACCTACTACAATGTAAACGTTACATAAATAGCTTTTATGTTGTATTATTTGGGAAGTAGTAACAAGATAAATTATTGGTACATGTCCAGTAGAGGAAGATTTTTTTTTCTAATTTTTCAATCCACAGAGGATCAAATACATATAATTGGCAAGAGGTACTCAAGAATTTGAGTTGGTCTTTAGGAGGCAGAAATCTATCTGATACAGTCTTAGCAGGACCAAGTGCTTACACAATAAACTTTCTGAGATATTTGGGACTATATTCTCTTTAATTCAAAATTTTAAAAAATCCCAGAAATAAGCAAATTGAACTTTATTCCCTTATTTTCATTGGAACTGTTTATGTTATGGAGAATTTGAGTCCCTCGACATCCTTGTTATCTCTAGCTCTACACATCCCCTTTGGGCTTGATTTTATTTTCTGCCTTTAGCTTAGACTTTTGCTTTTCTATCTTCACTTGCCAATTTCTCAATTCCCATGGCCTCTTGGCAATAGTTGTCCCGTCGCTGCAATCCCAAACCCTACATCAGGACAGCCATATGCCTGCTTACTGCTCTCCTGTGGCAGCTGATCACCACAGGGGAAAATTAGATATTGACACCCCCCACCCTTCCAGACCCACATCTCTTCTTGGCAGATTATTGGCCTGACTTTAGGTACTCCGATGTAGCAGCCTTCTCTGTATCCATTGACAGTGTGATTTTGTGAAAAACAGGGTTTCGAATCTGAACAGACAGATCTGGGCTTCAATGACATACTGACCTACTAGTGACTATGTGAACTTTGACTTGTCACATCATCTCTAAACCTTATCTTTGTCTAGTGTAAAATGGATTTTGTGATAATAATATCTGCCTCACAGTGTGGTTGACAGGATCAGCGAGATAAATGGTAGGCTTGACATACACTGGTTATTTCTCTCTCCCTGGTCCTCTCATGCTAGCCCTTCTTCCTTCATTTTCCTCAATTCTCTTTAGCTCTTTAATGCACTTTTGTGTAGCTCCTTTTCTTTCTTACCACCATCCATATAATTACTGGTGTCACAATCAGCAATGATCTCTCAAAGTATAATTTTGAGTTAATCATTTCCTGACTGCTCTAAAGCATTTGTTTATTTGAAAGGCAAACTGAGAGCAAATGTGAAACTAAGAGAGAAACGAGAGGGAGAGACAAAAACCAAAAACCCAACAAAACAAAACAAAACCCAACAAATTTCCATCTGCTGATTCACTTCCAGGACAAGACTTCTGTCGGTAGTGGGCTAGGCCGAAACCCTAAGCCTAGGACTTCATCCTAATCTCTCTCAAGGGTGGCAGCAGCCCAGGCACTTGGGAATGCATGTCCCATTGCTTTCCCAGGGGGCACTGACAGGAAGCTGGTGGTTTAGCCAGGGCTTGAATTGGCATTCCAATGTGATATGCTAGTGCAGCAGGTGGTGGTTTAATCCACTGTGTTGTATTGCCGTTGTCTCCGCCAAAGCGTTTCTCATCTGACCTCTTAAATAGATTGATTTCTCTGGCTAGCCCTTATGTGGTCATGGTTCTCCAAGGATCCAGCCTTAGCCCTTTCACTTTCATTCTCTGTATCTGTGCTGGAGTCCAGACTAAGGTGTGGTAAACAAGGCATCTAGGGCACACCGTTAAGGAGCCCTTGCCTTAATGGTGTGTAAATATATTTATGCCCTACAGGCTTTGGTTGATGTACCTTAGCCTGCCCCAGAACTTTTTAACTAAATATTGAGTATTCAGCCATGACTACTAAGCAGTGCACAAGGTTCCACAATACCCATGCTCACTCCCTGTGTACTCAAACATACATGGATATAACTGCTCTTTATATCATACAGGGTTCCAAGTTTCCATCTCTAGTCAGATTTATCTTTTGAATCCCAGATCTTTCTGGCTCCCTAACTGCACAGCATAATATAGCCAGTGGTAGCTCATATTTATGTACTATTTCTGCTATCTGTTATACTTAGTACTTTGAATCTGTTGTTTCATTTCATCCTTGCAATAGTTCCACGAGATAGGTACTATCATCCCTGTTGGTAAAGGAGGAGAGCTGAGGTTCATACGGGTTAAATATGTTGCCCAAGATAACACAATAAACATCAGAGTCAAGATCTATTTTTAAACTAATCAATGTAATTGAAAAGTATAGTGACAGAATTACTGAGATCTATTATATACTAGCTAATTCCTAAAATCTATGCAACAGCCAGGGCTAAGCCAGGCCAAAGACAGGAGCGAGGAATAACATCTGAGTTTCCAGTGTGAGGGCAGGAACCTGTATGCTTGGCCCATCTTTCACTGCCTCCTCCCTCCACCCCGAAGAGGTATTAGCCAGAAGCTGGATTGGGAGTAAAGCAGCTGGGTCTAGAACTGGTACTTTGATATGGGATATAGGCATCCCACGGAGTGACTTAACCTATTCTGCTGTAAACTCCTGGACCTACAGCTAGGATTTAGACTTTTGCATTGAGACTACAGTGCCCAGGGTCTTAGGGACCATGCAATGTTCTGTAATCATATCAAATTTGAGATGCATAACATATAGTCTATATACTTTCTCTAAAAATGTTTCTCTTCCATATTCAGATGGTTATTAAGTTGTATAAGTTCTACTTCTTTATCATTTGAATATTCCTGTTTTCTGTGTAGCTACGGTGTAGCTTCTGGCTCCTAAGTCACCCCTGGGTGATGTTACAAGATTGAAGGACAGTGGCCATAGAAATGCACCATCACTTTGTAGAATCCGATGACAGCTTAGCAGTGGAAGAGAAATGTGCATCCTTAGGAAGAGCCCTCAGTAACCCTCTCAAATACTATCTCTGACTACTTGGCTCCAGAATCATATTGCTTTTCTCCCTAGTATGTCTGAGAGTCATATATTTAACCTTCCTTCAGGTTTTAATCTAGCAATTATTCCCTTGACTGAAATCCTAGCCCCTCTTCCTTTGTTTCTTCTATCCTTGTTCCAACATCCTGGCTCTTCATGGGGACAATAGCTGTGTCACAACCTCCATTACCCCACTGTTATCTTAAAGGAGCCTTTGTCTTCTCAGATATCCCTTCAGTGAGACACGTCTAGTGATTTGACCTTACATCCTATTTGGTAACTTTTCCAACAAATTTTCTTTATTCCTTAATTCTACCTATTTTGCTGGTTCAATTTAACCTTTGCATTATTGCATCATTAGTTCAACCTTTCAGGCTGATTCCCTAGCTGACATCATGTCTGGAGGGGGATCACAGGGACAGTCTGCTTTCTGGTGATGCTTGGGGTTGGCACCCCTGATCCTGACAGAGTCACCTACTGGATTTGACTCTAGTAGGTTGACAATAAGCGTGATAAATGCTTCCTGTGAGAATGTGCTGTTTGCCCAAATGGGAGAAGTTATTTCTGTGTGCCCTCCTCTGGGCAGAGTATAAAGTCATTGTAGTTCTGGAAAAAGCAAAGTAATATAAGTAGCCTTAACTTCCTTTTGACGTTTTATGCTAGTTCTGAACTTACTTTTTCTTGTGTAGGGAGGTCAGCCAAGTATTGAGCCCCTGATATTAACTCAGAGGCATTTGGAATTAGAGACCAAAGGATTTCTTCCCAATTGACAAAATGCTTTGGTGATTAACTTACTAATGAAGGCTTAGCATTCATGTGTTAACCAAACTTAGCATATAATTTTCAAGAAAAGAGATGTGTCTCATTAAACGTTGTTAAATTTTGAAACATGCCATGTTTCTGTACATATATTTTTAATGTTTTTATTCAAGTGGTGACTTCAAAAAATTCAAAAGTTATTTTTCTCTGTATTCTGCTTTTTGGTTGTTGTTAAAACCTTCTCTCACTTGTAACTATCGGATCAGTAAGATGAATGTATTCTAAGAGGAATTATATTGGCAAATCATAAGTTTAACAGTGTCCATTAAGTGAAATGAACTATAAGCATTGTAAATCTTTTTAGTTTGAATAATGAAGAAGAACCACAGGTCTAAAGTTGTCAGTACTTACCAACGCTCATGCTGGCTGCTAAGATCTCAAATATTGTCAAATCACGTTATCGTTATTTAAAGAGAAAGGTATTATCAGACATATCTGTATCTAAAATGCAAACATACTCAAGGTATTTGTAAAAGGAAACAAACCTGTACATTCAGCACTGAGTAGATATCCACAAAGACAGATGACGACGAGCCCCGCTGCGTCTGCCATGACAGTGCTGAGCAACTGCTCGCGGGTTGTGCAAGTGGTTAAGGTTGATCAATTGTTCCAAAGTACAAGCTGAGCTGTATTTACTTCTGGGAAATAATGTCCATTTCCCTTAGTGGGTCCTTGGGTTATTTACAATGGCCTTTAGGGTCAGGTGAAGAAAATGACCGGGGGATATCAGTAACTCCACCTCTGAATTCTGGGAGGTTATTTGAGGTGGAAGCAGGCAGTCACCCATGCCCACAGCAAGGAGAAATTTGAGGGCTACAGTGGCTGTAACAGTAAAATTCATCAGTGGGACCCATTTTGTATTTGTCAGGGATCACTAATGTTACATAGTTCAAATATAAAGAGATGGAAACAACAAAGTTTTTTGATCAATTACCTTAAAATATACCATCCTCGGGGACCATCATTGTGGTATAACAGATTAAGCTGACATCCCATATGAGCACTGGTTCAAGTCTGGGCTCCTCAGCTTCCAATACAGATCCCTGCTAAATAGCCTGGGAAAACATTAGAAGATGGTCCAGGTGCTTGGGACCCTGCCACTAATGTGGGACCCCCAGATAGAGTTCTGGGCTCCTGGTTTTGGCCTGGCCCAGCCCAAGCTCTTGAAGCTATTTGGGGAGTGAATCAGTGGATAGAAAATCTCTGTCTCTGTATTTCCCTTTCTTTCTTTAACTCTGCTTTTTAAATAAATAAATAAATCCTTAAAAATTATGTGCCCCGAGTCTCCTGATGGGTCCCTCAGTGATCCTTCTCATAACTGGAAGTCTATAAACTTTGTTGTGCCATGAACTCATATGGCACAGCATACAGACCCTGTCTCAGAACAAATGTATATTGAATGTATATATGTGTCTACATATTTACATATGATACATTCTAAGTATGCTATGCATATGAAACAAATGAATGAACATGAGTATGTAATAGTACATATTAATAGTACATAGTATTATGCCAGTTTACATATGGTATTAAAAATTCCTAACAGTGTACAACTCTTTATTTACCATTCTTTGTGATACTATTGTGAAACATTTAACTCCCACATATTTTGTAGAATATATTATATGGTTAGTACTTTTTTTGTGACCGTCATTGAAGGAAATTTAAAAATTAGGACAGATGTATTACATTTAGATTCATATTTACCTCTTTAATACTCGGTTTCTTTGTAGATTCGGGTACTGTTCTTTTAATTTTTCATCACTCTGAAGGATTTTCATTTACAATATTAATAGTGTAGGTTTCATGGTAAATTTTTGAGGCTGTATTTACTTAAAATTGTCTGCATCTTGCTTTCATTTTTAGAAAGAATTTTGGCTGGGCCTGGTGCAGTAGCCTAGCTGCTAAAGCTCTCACCTTACATGCACTGGCATCCCATATGGGAGCCAATTATAATCCCAGCAGCCCTGCTTCCCTCTTAGTTCCCTGTTTGTGGTTTGGGAAAGAAATCAAGGACAGCCCAAAGCCTTGAGACCCTGCAGTCGCATTGGAGACCCAGAAGAGGCTCTGGGCTCCTGGCTTTGGATTGGCTCAGCTCAGGCTGTTGTAGCTGCTTGGGGAATGAATCAACAGATGGAAGATCTTCCTCTCTGTTTCTCCTCCTCTCTGTGTAGCTGCCTTTCCAATAAAAATAAATAACTCTTTTTTTTTTTTTTAAAGAAATAGCTTGGCTGTGTATAGAATAGTTCGTAGTATTTTCAGATAGGCTTTTTTTTTTCCATTTAGCGATATATATTTTAATGTTTCTTACATGTATTTTCATGAATTAGCTAATTCATTTTAACTTCAAATAATATTTCACTTGTTATACCACAGCTTATCCATCCATTTACGGAAGGACATCTTGATGGCCTGGATATTTTAGCAATTACGTTCCTGCAAATGTCTGTGTAGGTCTCATGTACTAGTAAGTTTCCAGCCCTTTTGGACAAATAAGGAGGATAATGATTGTTGGATCAGATGGTTAAAGTATGTATAGTTTTGTGAGAAGCCACCAAACTCTTTTCCAAAGAGACTGTGAATCATAGTTATTGTTGGCTGTACATCCTTGCAAGTATCTGATGTTGTCAGGTGTTCTAGGTTTTGATTATTGTGATAGGTGTGTAGCAGTAGCTGATTGCCATTTTAATTGGCATCTCCCTCATGTCATTTGATGTAGAGTATCTTTTCATATGCTTATTCTGCATCTGCATATCTTTTTTTACATGTATATATTTTTTAAGATTTATTTTTTTTATGGAAAGGCAATATACAGAGAGAAGAGAAAGGGAGGAAGATCTTCCATCCGATGATTCACTCCCCAAGTGAGCGCAACGGCCGATACTATGCCGATCCGAAGCCAGGAGCCTCTTCCGGGTCTCCCACATGGGTACAGGGTCCCAAGGCTTTGGGCCGTCCTGGACTGCTTTCCCAGGCCACAGGCAGGGAGCTGGAAGGGAAGCGGGGCTGCTGGGATTAGAACTGGTGTCCATATGGGATCCCGGGCGTGCAAGGTGAGGACCTTAACCATTGCGCCCCCGCGCTGGGCCCTTTTTTTTACACATTTTTTTTAAATTACATTTAATTTTATAGCAACGTTTCATAGGCTCTGATGTTCCCCTTTCCCCTCCCCTTGTCCTCCCCCCATGGTGGATTGCTCCACCTTGTTGCAGTATTACAGTTCAAATCTAGTTTTGTTTCTTTCAATGCAAGCATGTGCCCTGCATATCTTCTTAAGGTAGGTGTCTCTTCCAGTCTTTGGTTCCTGTTTTAATTTTATTTTTTAATTGTTGAGTTTTGAGTTCTTTTTATATTTTTGATGGCAGTCACTGCTTAAAAGTGACTTCAAAATATTCTCCCCATCTGCAGCTTGTGTTTTCATCCTCCTTCTAAATTATTTAATTTTGTTGGAGAGAGAAAGGGAGAAAAATGCATACATTTTTGTATCCTTGCCCACTCCTCAAATACCAACAATGGTTCTGGGCGCAGGACCAAGCCAGATGTCACCAGGGCTCTCGAGGTGATGACAGGAATCCAATCACTCAAGATATCATCTATGTCTTTCAGGGTGTGCATTCCTGGGAAGGTGGAGCTGTAGCTGTAGCAGAGCATCAAACCCAGGTCCTCCAATTGGTGCCCTAACTGCTAGTCAGAGACCCACGCCTTTTGTAGTATCTTTCACAAAGCAGAAACCTTTAATTTTAGCTGATACTAATGCCATTTTTTTATGAACCTTGCCTTTTTTGTTGTCTCTAAAATTAATTACCGAATCCAGAATCATCTGGACTTTTTTTCTATGGGATCATCCAGGAGTTTTATAGTTTTACATTTAACATTGAGGGCTGTGGTAGTTTCTCTGAAGAGTATAAGGTCTCTGTGTAGTTTTATCTCATTATTTTTTCTCACATGGATGTGCAGTTGTTTCACCACCATTTGTTGGGAAGCCTTTTGCTCCTTTGTCAAAGATCATGTGGCTGTGTTATGCAGGTCAATATTTGGGCTCTTTGTTCCATTCTGTTGATATGTTTGGATATCCTGTTACCAAAGCACTGCTGTCTTGAATAGTGTAGCACTCTTTCAATATTGTCATTAGTGTCCAGTAGTGTCATTAGAACATTTTTGTTCTCTTTTAATACTGTGTTAGCTAACTAGGGTCTTTGGCCTCTCCAGAATTCAATTTGTTTCCCCACATGGGTCACAGCGATACAAGTGCTTGGGAAGTTACCTGTTGCTTCTCAAAGGTGCACGTGTTAGAAGGAAGTTGCTATCAGGGCTGGAGCTGAGCCTCAGACCTAGGAACTATGTGTCTTGAGTGGTGACTTAATCATTGCACAAAATACCCATCCTTATTATATAAGTTTCTTTTTAGTTTCTTAATAATGTGCATTGCATTGATTGACTTCTGATTATTAAATAAGAATTCTGCAACTGGAAATTGTATTATTTTATTTATTGGGGAAATTAAATTTTATTTTATTATTTGCTGAAGATTCTTGTGAAAGGCGGAGAGATCTTCTACTCACTGTATCTCTCCCTAAATGACCACAGAGGCCGAAATCAGCCAGTCCAAAGCCAGGAGCCAGCAGCAGGAGCCAGCAGCTTCTTTCAGGTCTGCCCTGTTGTGCAAGGGCCTAAGCACTTGGGCCACCTTCTGCTGATCTTCCCAGTCATGCAAGCAGGAAGCTGGATCAGAAGTGCACCGACTGGAAGCAAGTGCTCAAATGGGATGTCAGCTCCAGAGACGGAGAATATTTTTGCTATGCCACAATACAGGCCCCAACACATTCCTCATTTTAATATTAAAATTTATAGCTCTAAATTTCTTAGCACTGTTTTTGTGTTTTAGAAAATCATCATGTTATATTTTAATTTTATGCATTTAATATATTGTTTCTTTTCCCTGAGACTTTCACTTTAATGTAGGCTTTGCTTTAGAATTAGTTGCTAAATTTTAATATATTTTGTTGTCTTTCTGCTATTAATGTCTAGCTTGAATCCATTATTTCAAGAGAATACACTAATTTTAGTTATTAAAATAAGTTAAGGGGTCTGTACGATGGCTTGATGGCAAATCTTCCCACCGCCAGCAATGGGATCCCTTTTGGGCACCGGTTTGTGTCCTGGCTGCACCATTTCTCACCCAGTTCCTTGTTTATGGTCTGGGGAAGCAATGGAGGGTGGTTCAAAGTTTTGGTACCCTGTATACTGGCTTTAGATCAGCTCAGCTCCAGTTGTTGTGGCCACTTGGGGAGTGAACTCATGGATGGAAGATTTTTTCCTCGGTCTTTCCTTCTCTGTAAATTTGCCTTTCCAATAAAACTAAATCGGGCTCGGTGCAATAGCTCAGTGACTAAATTCTTGCTTTGTGTACTCTGGGATCACATATGGGTGCCGGTTCACATCCTGGCTGTTCCACTTTCCATCCAGCTCCCTACTTGTGAAATGTATAATTTATGGCTCTTAAAAAGGGGGGCATTCTATTGTTATGATGTAGTTTGTTGATATATGTCAACTGGACCCTA